CAGCCCCCAGCATTTCATTCCGGCTGTGACAGGTGACTTTGGGAAAGTGTTTTGATCCGTGCCTGGTTAAACCCTCTCAGTCATCTTGGATCCGAGACATCTTTAGCTCCCTGGCGCGGCAGAAAAGCCTCTCCCCCCTCCCCAGGAAACGGGAACAAAGGGGAAAATCAGAAAGTGATAATTACAGAGCCACGGTAATTGTTAAATAGAGCCCAGCCACTGCGTGAGCGGCGTGGGAGGGGAGCAGAGCTCGCAGCAGCTCCGAGGTCGGCGCTTGGATTTTCCTAGGGAAGCACTGGCAAGGCTCAAGTCCGTGTACAACCACTGTCAAAATGAGACCGTCCCGGGGCTTCCCAGTCTGAGTTAGAGAGGGAATTGTTGGCCTGAGGTGGGGACGATCATCTGGAAATCCTCAAATGGCTGATTTAGTTTGGGCATTGCTGTAATATTTATCACTTTCCACACTAAAAGCAGAGTGTTGTGTGGTACCTGGGGACTCCTGGCTTGGTGGCAAGAGGGAATTGGAGCACCCAGCTATTCCCAAGGCACTACTGTCCCTGTTTTGGAAGGGTTTACTGATGCCTGTGCCAAAGTTCTGGGCCTTAATCCGTGATTGTTTGTAAAGGGATTGGGGAGAAACAAAGAGCTCGATGCGTCTCTCTTGTCTCTCCTGAGTTGCAGGTGAACCTGCAAAGGGAAAAATCCCTTTCTTTTGTCCAGTTATTGCTGTATTTAACTGCTGTAGCCTTTACCTGCACCAGCTCCCTCTGCCTGCACCTCTCACCTGTGGCTTTGCAGCTCACCAGGCTGCTGGCACCTTCCTGGCACCAGAGGAGAGACAAGGTGGTGACAAAGCTAAGCCTAAAACTTCCAGGTTATGGAAGAAGTTACAGACATTCCTGTGGCCAGACTGGGAAACAACAGCTCCAGACTGGTGGGACTGGGGCTTGCTTTGGCAAAGACACCCCTCGTTTGCCTGGCTCCAGAACGGGGCTCTTTTTTCCCTGCTGTGGGTTTCCTGCACAAGTCTCCTCTGCAGTTCCACTCTTCTTCTTCCTCCTCCTCCTCCTTCCATCCCTACCTGTGTTGCAGAGGTGAGTGAAGTTATTCCTACCTGGGGCTGATCCTGGAGCAGGGATTGAGTCAGGGCTCGTGCCTGTTGTTGCTACCCCTGTTCCTGCTCTGTAATCCCAGGGAAACCAGGTGGCCTCCTGGAGCTCTGGATTTGCCACGGGTGAACTGGGGACAGGTTGTGATGACAGGTGGGGTGTTTTTTTCAGGCAGGGAGCAGAGGAACCTGAGTAACGTGGTATTTGCAAAAGAAGGGAGGAAAAGCATCAAATCCGCATGGAAGTCACAGGATAGGGTGGGGAGAAATGGTCTTCGAGGTCACTTCCAACCCGAAGCATTCCATGATTTTAATTCCTTGGTCTGGGGGCCGGCAGGCAGGGAGATTGTGGGAATCAGCCACGTGCGGGTGGTTGGGTGGTGCAGATGATGTGGAGTTGTGTCCACTGCTCCCTTTTCCCAGCTGGAACTGCGTTCATCCCGCCCATCCCCAGAGCATCCTTGCTGTCCATCCCTGGAGTATCCATCCCTGCTGTCCATCTCCAGAGCATCCCTGCTGTCCATCCCCGGAGCATCCATCCCTCCCATCCCCAGAGCATCCATCCCGTCCATCCTCGGAGCATCCCTGCTGTCCATCCCCAGAGCATCCCTGCTGTCCATCCCCAGAGCATCCCTGCTGTCCATCCCCGGAGCATCCATCCCCTCCCGGGGCGGCGCGGGGCAGCGATGCCCGGCGGGAGGAGCCTGGATGGAGCGGGAGGAGCCTGGATGGAGCGGGAGGAGCCTGGATGGAGCGGGAGGAGCCTGGATGGAGCGGGAGGAGCCGGGATGGAGCGGGAGGAGCCGGGATCGAGCGCAGGCGCCGCACCGGCATCCGCTGCTCCGGCCGGGCCTGGCGGTGAGAGCGGCGGG